TGCCCTTCTCAGTGGTGTCCTGCTGCCCTTCTCAGTGGTGTCCTGCTGCCCTTCTCAGTGGTGTCCTGCTGCCCTTCTCAGTGGTGTCCTGCTGCCCTTCTCAGTGGTGTCCTGCTGCCCTTCTCAGTGGTGTCCTGCTGCCCTTCTCAGTGGTGTCCTGCTGCCCTTCTCAGTGGTGTCCTGCTGCCCTTCTCAGTGGTGTCCTGCTGCCCTTCTCAGTGGTGTCCTGCTGCCCTTCTCAGTGGTGTCCTGCTGCCCTTCTCAGTGGTGTCCTGCTGCCCTTCTCAGTGGTGTCCTGCTGCCCTTCTCAGTGGTGTCCTGCTGCCCTTCTCAGTGGTGTCCTGCTGCCCTTCTCAGTGGTGTCCTGCTGCCCTTCTCAGTGGTGTCCTGCTGCCCTTCTCAGTGGTGTCCTGCTGCCCTTCTCAGTGGTGTCCTGCTGCCCTTCTCAGTGGTGTCCTGCTGCCCTTCTCAGTGGTGTCCTGCTGCCCTTCTCAGTGGTGTCCTGCTGCCCTTCTCAGTGGTGTCCTGCTGCCCTTCTCAGTGGTGTCCTGCTGCCCTTCTCAGTGGTGTCCTGCTGCCCTTCTCAGTGGTGTCCTGCTGCCCTTCTCAGTGGTGTCCTGCTGCCCTTCTCAGTGGTGTCCTGCTGCCCTTCTCAGTGGTGTCCTGCTGCCCTTCTCAGTGGTGTCCTGCTGCCCTTCTCAGTGGTGTCCTGCTGCCCTTCTCAGTGGTGTCCTGCTGCCCTTCTCAGTGGTGTCCTGCTGCCCTTCTCAGTGGTGTCCTGCTGCCCTTCTCAGTGGTGTCCTGCTGCCCTTCTCAGTGGTGTCCTGCTGCCCTTCTCAGTGGTGTCCTGCTGCCCTTCTCAGTGGTGTCCTGCTGCCCTTCTCAGTGGTGTCCTGCTGCCCTTCTCAGTGGTGTCCTGCTGCCCTTCTCAGTGGTGTCCTGCTGCCCTTCTCAGTGGTGTCCTGCTGCCCTTCTCAGTGGTGTCCTGCTGCCCTTCTCAGTGGTGTCCTGCTGCCCTTCTCAGTGGTGTCCTGCTGCCCTTCTCAGTGGTGTCCTGCTGCCCTTCTCAGTGGTGTCCTGCTGCCCTTCTCAGTGGTGTCCTGCTGCCCTTCTCAGTGGTGTCCTGCTGCCCTTCTCAGTGGTGTCCTGCTGCCCTTCTCAGTGGTGTCCTGCTGCCCTTCTCAGTGGTGTCCTGCTGCCCTTCTCAGTGGTGTCCTGCTGCCCTTCTCAGTGGTGTCCTGCTGCCCTTCTCAGTGGTGTCCTGCTGCCCTTCTCAGTGGTGTCCTGCTGCCCTTCTCAGTGGTGTCCTGCTGCCCTTCTCAGTGGTGTCCTGCTGCCCTTCTCAGTGGTGTCCTGCTGCCCTTCTCAGTGGTGTCCTGCTGCCCTTCTCAGTGGTGTCCTGCTGCCCTTCTCAGTGGTGTCCTGCTGCCCTTCTCAGTGGTGTCCTGCTGCCCTTCTCAGTGGTGTCCTGCTGCCCTTCTCAGTGGTGTCCTGCTGCCCTTCTCAGTGGTGTCCTGCTGCCCTTCTCAGTGGTGTCCTGCTGCCCTTCTCAGTGGTGTCCTGCTGCCCTTCTCAGTGGTGTCCTGCTGCCCTTCTCAGTGGTGTCCTGCTGCCCTTCTCAGTGGTGTCCTGCTGCCCTTCTCAGTGGTGTCCTGCTGCCCTTCTCAGTGGTGTCCTGCTGCCCTTCTCAGTGGTGTCCTGCTGCCCTTCTCAGTGGTGTCCTGCTGCCCTTCTCAGTGGTGTCCTGCTGCCCTTCTCAGTGGTGTCCTGCTGCCCTTCTCAGTGGTGTCCTGCTGCCCTTCTCAGTGGTGTCCTGCTGCCCTTCTCAGTGGTGTCCTGCTGCCCTTCTCAGTGGTGTCCTGCTGCCCTTCTCAGTGGTGTCCTGCTGCCCTTCTCAGTGGTGTCCTGCTGCCCTTCTCAGTGGTGTCCTGCTGCCCTTCTCAGTGGTGTCCTGCTGCCCTTCTCAGTGGTGTCCTGCTGCCCTTCTCAGTGGTGTCCTGCTGCCCTTCTCAGTGGTGTCCTGCTGCCCTTCTCAGTGGTGTCCTGCTGCCCTTCTCAGTGGTGTCCTGCTGCCCTTCTCAGTGGTGTCCTGCTGCCCTTCTCAGTGGTGTCCTGCTGCCCTTCTCAGTGGTGTCCTGCTGCCCTTCTCAGTGGTGTCCTGCTGCCCTTCTCAGTGGTGTCCTGCTGCCCTTCTCAGTGGTGTCCTGCTGCCCTTCTCAGTGGTGTCCTGCTGCCCTTCTCAGTGGTGTCCTGCTGCCCTTCTCAGTGGTGTCCTGCTGCCCTTCTCAGTGGTGTCCTGCTGCCCTTCTCAGTGGTGTCCTGCTGCCCTTCTCAGTGGTGTCCTGCTGCCCTTCTCAGTGGTGTCCTGCTGCCCTTCTCAGTGGTGTCCTGCTGCCCTTCTCAGTGGTGTCCTGCTGCCCTTCTCAGTGGTGTCCTGCTGCCCTTCTCAGTGGTGTCCTGCTGCCCTTCTCAGTGGTGTCCTGCTGCCCTTCTCAGTGGTGTCCTGCTGCCCTTCTCAGTGGTGTCCTGCTGCCCTTCTCAGTGGTGTCCTGCTGCCCTTCTCAGTGGTGTCCTGCTGCCCTTCTCAGTGGTGTCCTGCTGCCCTTCTCAGTGGTGTCCTGCTGCCCTTCTCAGTGGTGTCCTGCTGCCCTTCTCAGTGGTGTCCTGCTGCCCTTCTCAGTGGTGTCCTGCTGCCCTTCTCAGTGGTGTCCTGCTGCCCTTCTCAGTGGTGTCCTGCTGCCCTTCTCAGTGGTGTCCTGCTGCCCTTCTCAGTGGTGTCCTGCTGCCCTTCTCAGTGGTGTCCTGCTGCCCTTCTCAGTGGTGTCCTGCTGCCCTTCTCAGTGGTGTCCTGCTGCCCTTCTCAGTGGTGTCCTGCTGCCCTTCTCAGTGGTGTCCTGCTGCCCTTCTCAGTGGTGTCCTGCTGCCCTTCTCAGTGGTGTCCTGCTGCCCTTCTCAGTGGTGTCCTGCTGCCCTTCTCAGTGGTGTCCTGCTGCCCTTCTCAGTGGTGTCCTGCTGCCCTTCTCAGTGGTGTCCTGCTGCCCTTCTCAGTGGTGTCCTGCTGCCCTTCTCAGTGGTGTCCTGCTGCCCTTCTCAGTGGTGTCCTGCTGCCCTTCTCAGTGGTGTCCTGCTGCCCTTCTCAGTGGTGTCCTGCTGCCCTTCTCAGTGGTGTCCTGCTGCCCTTCTCAGTGGTGTCCTGCTGCCCTTCTCAGTGGTGTCCTGCTGCCCTTCTCAGTGGTGTCCTGCTGCCCTTCTCAGTGGTGTCCTGCTGCCCTTCTCAGTGGTGTCCTGCTGCCCTTCTCAGTGGTGTCCTGCTGCCCTTCTCAGTGGTGTCCTGCTGCCCTTCTCAGTGGTGTCCTGCTGCCCTTCTCAGTGGTGTCCTGCTGCCCTTCTCAGTGGTGTCCTGCTGCCCTTCTCAGTGGTGTCCTGCTGCCCTTCTCAGTGGTGTCCTGCTGCCCTTCTCAGTGGTGTCCTGCTGCCCTTCTCAGTGGTGTCCTGCTGCCCTTCTCAGTGGTGTCCTGCTGCCCTTCTCAGTGGTGTCCTGCTGCCCTTCTCAGTGGTGTCCTGCTGCAAAAAAAAAAAAAAAAAAAGGCTCCTGGGCTTTTTGTCCTCACGGTGCCTTCTGTTCTGCTGACCCTCTGCAGGGCCCCCACCCCACCCACCCAGCCCCACGCTGAAGTAAATCTTGAGCAGGTCCATTTCTTTCAGGGGAGCTCTGTAATTCACTGCTCAGCCAGTCCTGCTGTTCCATTTTTCATCAGTAACCTTTGGAGCTGAACACTTGGGTTTAATGCTGAGCTCCCTGGAAATATATTTCTGCTGTCACGTAAACTTGCTGGAGTGTTTGGCCCTTTTTCTGTGCTCAGAGCTCTGTGAAAGGGTTAAATAAAGATTAGCAGAGTTTCAGTGCTTGATATTATAATACCTAAATCCACCAGGACAAGAATCAAATCATAATTATTCCAAAGGGCTCCTTTGAATATGTGAAAAGCACCAGCACCAAAGGACAAGGCAAAAAAACTGGGATGGAACAGCCTTGTGCTGGGAAAGGAGGAAAGTTCCAACAGATCCAGGCCCTGCTCAGCCCCCCCAGAGCTGCCCTGGGCAGGGGCACCCCCAGAGCCAGGGCTGCTCCTGGGGGTCTCGCCCACAAACCTCTGCTGCTTCCTGGCAGCCCCCAGGGAGGGGAAGGGATTCGTGCCTCATTAATGCCACCAGATCTGTCCTCATTGTTGGATAAATCCCTCCTGTTAATAGGATCAACAGCCAGGCTGGCTGAAAAAGCATTTAATTCAGCTACTTTCAGCCAATAAAGCACAAGCTTAATTTTCCCTTCAGGAATTCAGCTTGACATCTATTATTTATTTATTTATGCACTTATTTATTATTCCCCCCCCCCCGTTTTTTGTGGCGTGGATTCCTAATCCTTAAGAACAAGAAGAAGAAAACCAAACCCAAACCACAAGCTGGGCCCAGCCCTGGGCTCCCAGGGCAAGGGAAATTGGTGCCCACTGAAGAGGAGCAGCAGGAGAAAGGTGGGATCAACGGTTTCCATGTCAACGGCTGCGCCCACGACACCGAGTCCGTGGAGTCGCTCAGCGAAGCTCTGGATGCTCTTTCCATTGATGCCAGAGAGCTGGAGGAGGGCGAGCCCGGGGCCCCAGACATGCCTGAGAGAGAAGGTCAGTTTTTTTAGGTCAGTCTCTGCAGAGCAGCCAGGAGATGGGCCCCCAGTGTGCCAAAAGCAGAGGAGCTGCCTCCTGCTTCTCTGGTGGTTGGGATCCGGCTGATGAGTGTGGAGGCTCTTCGGGAAGAGCAGCTCGGCGTGGTGTCCTGCTGTGTTTGTGTGTTGTGTGAGGAGGTGGCCAGTGTCCTGCTGCCCTTCTCAGTGGTGTCCTGCTGCCCTTCTCAGTGGTGTCCTGCTGCCCTTCTCAGTGGTGTCCTGCTGCCCTCTCCGTGTCCTGCTGCCCTCTCCCCCTTTCAACCAGTGTGCTTTTCTACAGCAGTGCCTGACCTAGGGAATGGAATAGCAGGCTTTGACACACAATCGCTCACCCTGCATCCTTCCCAGAGCTCCCAGTCCCTCCGGCAGCGCCCTGATTCCAGGAGCACCACCAGGTCCCTGTCCCGACCCGCAGCCTCCGCCTCCATTCCCGCCTCCCTCTCCGTCTCCCGCCTGGAAGACGTTCCCGTCTCACCCGCCACCAAGAAGCTGGGTAAGGCCCCAGGGCTGTGTGTGCTCCCGTGGCAGAGCAGGTTGCTGCTGGCCAAGTTGTCAGAACCTCTTCAGCCGTGGTCACTGGGGTGAGGCACGAGGAGAGACTTTGATCTTAATGCGAACGAACGTGCCGCTCATTATCCGGCCGGGAACGGGCTCCGCTTGCCCGCAGCAGGGATGGGATCCTGACAGAGCCACCCTGATGTGTGAGAGGAGCAGAGGGGGGGGAGCAGCCAGTCTCACATTGAGGCCATTCTTCTGTACCCCCCATCACCAGAGCCCTTGGGTGGTTTCTCATCTTCTGTGAGAATCTGTGGAAAGGCCCCAAGTTGGGGGCGGTTCCATGACAAGAAGTGGCAGCTGCCTCCTCCTGGACTTGCTTTGGGTTTTTTTTTTCCTCCCCCCTCCTTTCTGTGCTTTCTCCATCTTCTCATGATAACAAGTGGGGACAGGAGAGACCTGGGAGGCCCCGTGAGTGGTGGTTGTTGACTTGGCTCAGGCAGATGAGGTGGGGAAAGTTCATTCCAGCTCCTCACTGGGCCGAGCGGTAGTTGATGTGGCTTGGCAGGGGCAGGGAGAGGGACAAGGTGACAGCCCTGCTGGGGAGCTGAGCCTCAGGGACCAACCTTGGCAGCCACAGCCAGTCCTTCCAGCTCCTGCTGTGAGGAAACAGCCTTTGTTTTAGTTCCTGGGGTATCTCCCTCCCCTGTGTGAACGGCCATTTCACATCACCAGTGATGAAGTGTGTTGATCTCTGGGACAGGCCACGTTTCACCTGTTCCCAGTGCCCAGCACAAAAGCAACTCAGATGTATTTGATCCCTCTCATGAGCTGGAACACGTGGAGGGACAACCCTGCCCCACAGGAGAAAATCCAGCAAGGGAATGGGAAGACTGTCCTACTAAGAAAATCCCTCAACCTCTCCCTGCTCCTGTGGCGGAGAAGGGAAAGAAAAATTGAAACCCAGGCCATGTCTAGATGTAAAAGAAGAAGGAAAAGCAGCTTTAGCTCTGTCCCTGGTGGGAGGCTGGAGTGGTGTGATTGACGTGGCTGCTTCAGCTCCCTCTGTCTCTTGGTAGGTTCTAACATTGAGAAGTCAGTGAAGGATCTTCAGCGCTGCACCGTGTCGCTGGCGCGGTACCGGGTGGTGGTCAAGGAGGAGATGGACACGTCCATCAAGAAGATGAAGCAGGTCTTTGCTGAGCTGCAGAGCAGGTGGGTGAAACCTCACAGCAGGGAGGCTGGAGATGAGTGCGTTGGGAGCAAGATTCCAGCTTTCCAGTCAGGACTGATGGGTGTTGCAGCCTGAGTGTGTCAGAAAGAGCAGTTTTGGACACCTTGGTGTGTCCATCAGGGTCGTGGAACTGACTCCACGTCTGCACGAGGTGGTTGTCCTGGCCACCAGAAAGTCACCTTGGATGCAGATCATCTGAGGGACTCAGCAGGTGACATCTTGTCAGTCAGGTTCTGGTGTCAGCCAGAGCTGGGGGTGTAGGACAGTGTGTCCTTTAGAAATCAACAGAAAGTTCTCTTGGAAATCTTCATGTTGTGGTTGAAACCTCCATGGAAGGGAGGGGTCCTTCTGAAGGTGTCAGGACACATCACAGGTCATCCTGGACAATGTTGCTTCCCCTGTTTTCACCCAAGGTTTTCACACTGTGCATGATGTTCCCTGCCAGTGTAACCAGGCCTGGTTTTAATGAACATCTTTACTGGTTTGGATAAATCGGTGCTTCAAGGTGGATATTCCAGAAGGCCCAAGATCAGGAGCACTGGATGTCGTGGGAAATCTGTTCCTGAGAAATTGTCCTTCTTGGTTACACAAACAGGGTTGCTTTTGGTAAAGAAATATTCCTAAGAAGCTGCACCCAGTGTTCTCCTGCCCTGCTGGGAGTTCCTGGCTGACATGTCCCCAACCCTCTGCCCTCACTTTGGGGATTAAAGTAGGTTTCTGGCAGGTTGGCAGGTGGTGTCACAGGCTGCCTGTTGTCCCGTGGTGGCCTCCAAGGTGCCACCACTCCCTGGTGGGGGAGGCAGGAGCTTGTTCCAAGGCCTTTTCACCAGGGGAGTTGTTCAGGGTGGACTTTTCCTTCTGCTGGTCCTGGGGTTGGACTTTGCCTCCAGGAAGTTCTGTCCTGCCTGAAGTGCTGTCCTTCCTGTCCTGGGTGTGCTGAAAATACTGACCAAAAAGGGCATTTTCAGCTCCCCTGGGGGAAGGGTTGAAGGGGTCTCTGTGTTTCCGTGCTGAGAGCTGTGGCCAAAACCAGCCCTGGAGCTCCCAGCAGCTCCCACATTCTGGAAGAGCCAGGATGGAAGGGCCCTGCTGAGGCTGAGGGGTTTGTAGCCCTCACTCAAGTTTGGTTTTATGGCTGTTGACTCTTGGTTAGTGGCTTTATCTGCTCAGTCCATGCGGGTGCAGATCCCTGGGATCCCTGCACGCAGCGGGGGTTGCTGAGAGGTTTGTTTCCCACCTCCCTGGGCAGTTCCAGCACCTGCAAAAGCCTCTCCCAGCTCTGAGAAGTGTCACTCCTTGGCTGACATGCCCAGATCCGTGACTTCTCAGCCTGTGGCTGCTGTGACCACCCCTGAACCTGCGTCACGGGGGCAGGTCGAGGCTCCAGCCCCAGGGGAGCAGCCGGACACGGATCCGGGCCCCGGGAACCTCCCTGGGCAAACGCTGGAGCTGCCCAGCCCAGCCTGGGAGATTCACTTTCCTTTTCCCCGAAGTGAGGCAGTTGCCAGGGAGCTGAGATGCAAATTGCACCTCCCCTGCTTTTGTTCTTTGGGTTTTTTTCCAACTCCCATCAAGCCCCAGGGAACAATTCCTGCCTTTCCCGAGTCCCGCAGCACAGGGCAGGATCCCAGAGGCAGATCCTCTCCAGTTGGCTTCCTACCAGAGACAGACCTGGTTTAAAAGCAGGTTTATTCAACTGAAACAGGATATTTAAGTAGCAAAGCCTAGGCTGGTTTAACTTCAGCCTGTCAGGGCTGCCCTTCAGGTGCTCTTTCAACCAGGGAGGCTTCCTGGAGCTCCCAACCTTCCCCTTCTCTCTCCAGACAACGTGCTGGGTTTCCACCTGTGGTCTGGAGGTAGGGGAGGATGAAGCAGGAGGTGGTTGTTTTGGGGCTGTCTCAGTCTCTGTCTCAGAAATCCATCCTGTTGGGGGAGCAGTAGCTTGGCTTCCTATTCCAACAGGATTTGCTCCTCCAGGCTGGAGATGAGTGGGTAACCTGACCCAGGGAACCCTCAGAGTCCTGGATTTCCACCTGGCCCTTCCTCGGGCACTTGTTAAATGTCCTCCCTGACAGCCCAGTCCTCCTGGCAGGGCCGGGTGCTCCCTCCATCCTGCAGGGTGGCTGATCCCAGTGCAGAGCAGCCCCTTTCCACACGGATCCAGCAGGAGGGAGTTTGTGGAGCAGGAGGGAGGAGCAATCACTTGTCACACCAACCTCTGGCAAAGCCACTTGACCTCTGTTCCTCAACCAACCCAGTACACTTGGGCAGAGGGCTCCAGCTGAGCTCTTGCTGAGTGAATTAAATGGCAAAGCCACAAATTCACGGATAAAACCCAAAGTGGCCCCTCGAGGAGGGGGTGTTGGCTGGGCTGGGCCTGCCTGTGTGGGGAGGGGACAGCAGGGTAGGGTGGAGGTGCAGCCCCAGAGCCACCAGGCTGTTCCTGCACTTCAATAATCATGAAGGCCACGTTCACACCCCGGATCTCTCTGAGGAATTCCTGGCACTGACGTGGCCCTGGGCAGGAGCTGCAGGGTCGGGCTGGGGCTGCCTGGGGGAAGGTGAAGTCTTATTAGCGTCGCTCTTGACACGCGTGGTTGTATTTGTGCAGTTGGGCTGAGAGTGCCTGACCTGGACCAGGCCCCTGCTGTGCTGCCAGCAGAAACAATTCCTGCCCTGAAAAGGCAGATGGACAGAGCGATAAATCAACAGAAGAAGCCAAATGTCAAAGCTGCTGTTCAGAGGGAATTGTTTAAATTGATCTTGCCTCAGCCGGCTCTGACACGCCGGGGAGCGGGAGCTGGGGCTGGAGTTTGCATTTCAGCTGCTCTGCAGTTTCCCCTTCTGCTAAGATAAATATTCTCCCCATTTCCAAGCAAACCTTCCTCCCTTTAAAAGCCCCTGGTGGGTGGTGGGGGCTGCCCCTGTGCCCTGCTGGTGCCTCCCAGCACCTTGGTGGTGCTGCTGGACCAGGCAGGGATGGACCAGAGGGAACCTCTGCTTTTGTGTTGAGGAATTAGAAGCTGAGAGGGGACCTGGGAATGAAGAGGTGGGGTCAGATGCTGCTGAGCCAGGGTGGGCTGGGAAGGTCTGAGGGGAGTAGTTCAGGGGGAAGCACAAAAGCAGCATTTGCAGGGAGGGTCTGGCTGGATTCCTTACAGCAAGGAGCAACCAGTCCAGAATGGGAGGAGTGGTGTTCCCCCTCTGGTGTACCCCGAGTTTCTAGGGGGGCAGGGGCACAAGCTGGAGCCTCCTGCTGAGTGGTGTGACCCTCTGGGATGTCCCCTCCCCAGCCAAAAGACCTCCAGGCTGGGAGAGGCTCCTGGATGGTGATGCTGCTGGTGGTACCTGCTGCAGCCTGTGGCTCTGGCAGGGGGTGTGTGCACCCCTGGGGGTCCCACAGCTCCCTGGGGGCTCCCACAACCCCCTGGGGATCCTCAGGGGCAGCACAGAGCACCAGGTTTCTGGATTAGTGGGACAATTTGCATGGCTTAATGAGCTAATGAGGCTGTAAGAGTGAAGCTTTGCTTCCCCCTGTGGCACCCGAGGCTGTTCCGGAGGGGGCAGGTCCTCAAATTCCCGCTGTCCTCTCGTGGCTCCTCATCCTGCCCTGCTGCTGGGTACTTTGGTGCTGCCACTCGGTCCAACATTCCTCATTTCCTTGGGAAAAACTCCAGCCGAGCTCATATATCCCACCCCCCAACCCCCCCCGCGCCCATCGCTGCTCCCCTTGCCAAGGTGGCTCCGACTTTCCCCGGAGCGGGGTGACCACGTACCCAGCGGGCTGGGGACAGGGGGCTGGGGA